CACACACACACACACACGTTAGGGAAAAGTTTCTTACAATTCTTATAGCTCGGCTGCCTGAAAGGTTTGCCTTTGGAGAAAACAATAGCAACAATGAGATACTGGAAGGAAGAGACGTAGAAGAGGCTGGTGTTCTCATAGTTTTGGATGTTGTGCTCGTCCTCTTCCGTCTCATTTTCAAAGTCCATTTCAATGTGTGATGTGAGGTTGCAGACACTGCGTGAAGACAGAGAAGTCATTAAGAGCATTTTCACTCTGTGGTCCTTTTATACTGCATCTGGAAAGTAATCACAGCGCTTCACATGTTCAGAATCTTGTAGCCTTTTCCAAAATGGATTAAATTCATTTTTCAACACAAAAATTATACACACAAATCCCACAGTTACAAAGTAAAAAACGTTACTTGAAATTCGTGCAAATCTGGTCACCTCCCTGACTAAGGCCCTGGTGGTTCAAAGTTCTTCAGTTTATGGATGATGGAGGCCACTGTGCTCACTGGGTCTTCAGTGCTGGAGAAATGTTCCTGTACCCTTCACCAGATCTGTGCCTTGATACAATCCCATCTCAGAGGTCTACAGACAATTCCTTGGACATCCTGGCTTGCTTTGCGCTTTGACACATGGGATCTTATTAATTGACATGTGTGCCTTTCCAAATCATCCCCAATCAACTGAATTCGCCACAAGTGGCCTTCAATCAAGTTGAAGATCATCTCACATGATCAGTGGAAACAATAAGATCAATTCTGAGTGTCACGGGAAAGGCTGTGAATACTTATGCACATGTTATATATTTGTTTCGATTTTTAATACATTTGCAAGAATTTCATTGTGGTGGATTAAATTCTATTGTGTGCAGAATTTAATCCATCATGTAACATATAACATGACAAAATGTGGAACACAATAACATGACAACTTTTAAAACTTATAATGAAACCAAGTTATTATTTGATTTGGGTATTTGTCTGCTACACATTAGAAGTAATAGTCAGTGCTCACTCGGTAAGTGGCGTCCAAACTTTGTACCAGGGCTGCTGTTTGACCCAAAGGAATGTCCAGATCTGGAAACCCAAGCAGATGAGGATCTGGGTCAGCACAGAGAACAGCAGAGGCCCTGAGATCAGACCTGATGGAGGACGACGGGACACCAGCTCTTTCCACGCTGGGTTCAGACTCACTGATAAGGGGCAGAGTGAATAGTGAGGATTATTACATTCAGAACAAATAAACACACATATCGCTTATCCTTGATATTTTAGTTGTACTTACTGGTAAAGACAATGAGGAGGATGATAGCAATGTCGATGAAGAGGAACTGGAAATCGCCAAGGTTACTTAAAATCTAAAAACCAAAAACAACACGGCACAGATGACAAAAATCTGAATTCACTGGATTTCTCATCTAACTAAGCAGGCAGTTTTACGTACAGAGTAGAGGAGAGTGACGCTGATGTACTGGATGATGCTGTAGAGGGCCATAAACTTAAACACACAGAAGGAGGTGATAAGAGCAGCACGGCCCTCCCTGCAAAAACAAAGCAAACTGTGTCTTAACAACATAACTGGGAAAAAAATTGCTCCCGGAACAACAAATTCAACTCCTCAAAACATTTGAATAATAGTGTGACACTGTGTATATTTGCCAGACTGCAAATTCAGCCTATAAGATACTTATTCTTAATACAGTTTTATTCATTTATGGATCAGCATGTAAATAAAAATACAGACCTGATGAGGTTAGGGACACAGGAGATGTTGGGGGTCCTTGAGGTGAAGGGAGATGCTACTGAGGCTTCGAGCTCCGACAGAGAGATCCCACTATGAGCCCTCTTCAAAGCCTGGGTGAGATAAGTTAGCATTATATACATCCTGCTGTCAGATTGTGTCCATTACAGAGAGCTGTTGTCCAAATGATGAAGGTGTACATACCCCACAGTCATTCGCGCCATCGCCACACATTCCAACAAAGTAGCTGCGAGCACATGAGAACAAACAGTAAATCTTTACTCAGTGTAATGCTTTTTAAAGTCATTGCAAGATCAAAGCTACGATGCCACAAACTTTCAGTTTTGACTTAAAAGCTGATTCTGCTGCTCATTAATGAGAAACTGTCCAGCAGCACACGATGGGAATGTTAAATAACAGAATGTTGAAATCTCATTTTTGACAAGTTCAAAGCTACATCCCATATTTGACTAAATACTCACTCGACACCCTGCAGCGTCTCAATCAGCTGGGTTTTCTGGTCAGGTGCCATTCTGGCAAACACTGTGCCGCGCAACACGAGCTATAAAGCAGAGCACACAATCAGGAGTCAGAAACAAAGACGTATTTGATGCAACTTCTGCTCCATTTTCGTTTGAGCAGTTTCTTACCTTTTGAAGCATATCTGGGAAATGTTCATCGATTACAGCAAATGATTTTCCGTTCATAGCAAAGTGGTAGAGCTCTTGGCTTTTGGGATCATCTATGTGACAGACATCCTCCAGGCTTATGTTCACTTCCTGTTCCAAAGTATGAGAAATTTTAAGAAATGCATCGAGATTTAAAAAAAACAAAAACAGGAACATTCAATAATTACTAAAACCAAGTCTTTGAACTGTTTTAACAATCAACAAAGACATCTTTATATTATTTAACAAAGGTTCTGAACCCACACAGAAATTCACTATTGAATGTTAAAATCTGCTGCATTTTATCTAATCAATAAATAACTTCTATAACTTGTAATTGATGTTAATCAAATAGCAGGTAATGGTTTTTGGATGATCTGATCACACACCTTTGTTTTGTAGTTGATCTGCTGAAAACCTTTACATTTCCTTTAGTAGACAAGATACTGCTCAATTTATATGTGACATTACGAGCTGTGTTTAGCTGAAGTATGTTCTGCTGCCTGTGTGTTGATTCACCTGAAGTCGGGATGCACTGCGAGGTTTGTCAGCGTATCTCCAGGTGATCTTGGCGGCTTGTCCATCGTGTGGAGGGAGGGCATCGGCAATTATGACTGTGTCCTGGGGAGGGATCATTCCGCAGTCGCGGGCCACAGAGATGGCCGTCAGCATGTTGTCACCTGCAAAGTGATTACGATATTAATTTTGCTATAACATCCCACAATTCAGTCATTTGCTTGTCATGTTTTCATCTTCAGCCTTGGGTTATAAATAAGTTACCCAAGGGTTTGCTTGGCTGTGACTGATGATGAATGATGAAATACAAGCTCAGTGTCACCTCACCCTAAGTGACACCACAGTAGAGTTTTGGGGGCTAATGGAGATGGATGAGCTTGCAAAAAACAGGTTAAAAGTGAGCCAGAGTACGTGCAAACCATGGATCAATTGTGAAACAATCAATTCTTTTTAAGGCTCAAAGTTGAATTTGATTCACAGCCAACTACAGTGAGTCTAGACAGGAACAGCTGGTTAAAGTATACACGCAGAGTAAACTATTGCTGGCATACCTGTGACCTCTCATTTGTTATGCAATGATGGAAAATACCAGCATGTTCTCACCAGTAACCATGACTGTGCGAATGTTGGCTTGATGAAGGTCCTGCAGCACCCCTGGAGTTTCTGGCTTCAGCTTGTTCTGCATGATGATGAGACCCAGGAACTCCATGTTTGCTTCTATGTGATCCCTAATTCAACGAAAGACATATGAATGTGTTTGTGTCTAACAAAATCCCCATATTAAACATATACATTTCTTCCCAGTAAATTATCTCTCATTAAAATATTTTTTTGTTCCACACAGAGCCACTTCCCTTTATTTTCTTATTCAGATCACAGAATGCATGTATTACATCACTGCAAAGTACACTACCTGTTGATGTTCTGGACCTTGTGCCAAGTAAGTTTTGATTCGAGCCGCCGATGAGCAAGAGCAATGACTCTGAAACCCTGCTTCGTGTAGCCTTCCAAAACCGCTGCAAAGTTTTCTGGCACTGCAAAGAAATGAATACAATAACAAGAGAGCCGATCAGTGATTCATCAGTAACAAACAGCAAGAAAAGAAGACAGAAACCCAAGAATTATAGATTCACAGTGCAAGCACCAACACTAACAACAACACTAAATACTAATTTTGGAGCAACAAAATCATTATCTTGAAGTATGCTCAATCATCCAGGGAAGAAAGTCCCAAAAAGTTGATTCTGCTCATCAGAAAACAGTTTCCAGATGAACAGAATCTACTTTTGGGACAAAATCATGGATATACCAGGTCAAAGATACATTTGTAGAAAAATGTATAAAAGAAAAAAGAAAACAAATTGTAAGACAACATGCACATCTCTACATTTTGGACACCTCACCCGTCTCTCTTCTGCAGAGACTAGTCACAACCTCTGGTGCACCTTTCATGTAGGCATCCATACGTTTCTCCCCGAGGAGACGAGCTACTACACTCATTCTCTGGAGCGCTGAAGAAAAAGGGAACTGGCGCACAATACCAATCTCATAGGCTGCCTGCATATGTAAAGACAAACAAAATAAAATTATTTGTTTATTAGAAAGAGAAAGATGAAATGCTAAAATCGAGTTAAAAGTATACCAGTTATACAAAAAGGCACTATAGAAATGAATGAAACACAAATACTCACATTACCAAATTACTCTTTTTAAAAATAAAATGAAATGAACAGTTAACTTTGACAGGCATGAAAAGAAATACAACTACTACTTACCGAGAGCTCATAGAGTTCCTATAAAAACAAAAACACACAACAACAAATAAACCAGTCATTAAGAGTAAAAATACACTGTTCTTTTTAATGTTATAATAACATGGACACACACAAAAAAAATGCACGTTTAGATGCTGGACAGATATATTCATATAATTTTATACTTTTTCTAGACTCTGAAGGCCTGTGGTGTCCTGCTAACAACCGGGTTGCTGTACATACCATGTCCTGCTCTGGTGTTACAGCAGGCTCCGGGGGCAACAGCTGCTTAGGCGGTCGAACGACAGTGGGCATGATACGATTATGAAGAGACGTTTCCTCCTCGGTAGCCTCTTCCAGGATCTGGGCAGGTAAATATAAGTAAATGTTTACATTTCATACCAAGAAGCTTTTTAGATGTGCAACATTAAGACATTGAAATAATGCTTGCATGTCGTTTAGGCAGAGGTAACATTTACTTTGAATTATCTTATCCAGACATGCCAAAGACAGACTAAAAATCAGAACAGCGCAGCTTTTGTATATAATCTAAAACTCGTACACTAGATTAGTACAAAAGAAGAGGACCTTTCTAATCTCGAGCCATCAACATGATTGGAATCATGCAGATGTTTTTGTGGCAGGTTATAAAGCAATAATGCGTTAATGCCCAGTTTAGCTAAATTGTATCCAGCCTAAATACTGACAGAAGGGAGAATAAAGGGGACACTGCATCACAAAATGGATTCATGAGTCTCATAACTCTAGCCTGCCCTTACAGACATTTAGCTCATGGATAGATACAGATGAACTCACCCAGCCTGTAGCCTCAAACATTTTGAGGTCCAGCGGGTCCCCAGACAGCTGGCCTTCTATTTTGGTAAGTGAGTGGCATGTGGCCATGCAAGCCACAAACTGGGACTTGACAAGATTTTCCTTGTAGGCATTTTCTTCTGACAGGTGGAAGCTGGAGAAGCAGAAGAAGTGGGCGGTGAAGAGAGATTAAATTATACTCCTTTAACTACATTGTGGGAGTCATAAGAAATTGGGATGATCTGATATCGTCGTGTTGGTGTTGTTCCCACATCATCATAATAAATGTTGTTCCAGGTTCAACATTGCACGTGACCAATCACCTTCTTGTGACATAACACTTCTGCAAGCCAAGCGATTCGTTCAATTATGAAATTCCAATGTTGCAAGAACAATATGTATAATGCTTACCGTTCATTAAAGAACAGCATCCTGAAATGCAAAGAATTCAAATCGCTGGGTCGCCGGACAGAGGTGGTTTCTCGCAAGTTAAGTACTTTTCTTTTTACGGCGTTTTTTTTCCGAAGTCGCAACAGTATGACGTCACAACAATGTGATTGGTCACTTGCAATGTTGAACCTGGAGCAACATTTATTATGATGATGTGGGAACAACACCAACACGAGGATATCTGATCGTGCAAGAAATTGATTGAGAAATGAGCATTTGCAAGATGAAAACTTTTAATCTATCTGGTAAATAAATGATTAGGCCTTTAAAATTCAGAGCTATTACAATTCAGTTTTCTAATGATAACCTTAGTACTAGAAAGAAGACATATCATCCAGCCACTGCTTATTACAATACATGATCAGTTTTAGGCATCACTGGGAATCTCAGAGACAAGCAGATTTCTTGGTTTCTGCTCGTATCCAAATTTCTTCTGAGCTGTTTGAAACAACCATGACAGGAACAACACATCCGAGTTGATTAAAAGACTAGTAAATGTCTATGTAATTTAATGTTAACACCCCAGATCCTCAGTGTAATTTGTGCATTTACAGCAACTGTGTCAAACATAAGGTCTGGGAGCCAGAATCAGCCCAGCAAAGACTCCACTCCAGCCCACTGGAAATCTTTGAAAAATGAAATGAAAACTTTATATTTTGTAGTTACTGAATTGTACACATTTATCAGAGTTTTACTGTTCTGACCCATTTAAGATCAAAGTGGGCAGCATGTGGCCCACAATGTAAAATGAGTCTGATATCTCTGATTTAGAGGGATATGAAATGTTACACAGATACACTCCAGTATATTCTAAGCTCTTTTTAACAGTTTATCAGTGGCTGAAGTAAATGACACCTTCAGATTTTTAGTTTCTTCAGGCTACAACATGCAGTAAAATAGGCTCACGTTTACTAATTTAGGGCACAGAGCATCTTACCTGCCATTCTCAACCCTCTGGACTCCCCACAGGTCTAACCCATCTTCTGTCAGAGTTCCAGTCTTTAAAGATAAAAGATAATGAAATTCAACTGAATCAACACGGGGTGATCTTTGCTACCAGTTGCTTCTACATATGACATGGCACTAAAATTCTACAGAGTGACTTAAGCACCGTCTTTTACAACTGATAATCTGAATAAATTAGAGACTCACTTTGTCAAAGCACACCAGATTGATCTGGCCGCAGATATTAATTCTCTGTGGGCTGATGCAGAAAATGCCAATACGTTTTAGGCGTCGCTGTGCATACACAATGCCAGCTGTCATAGCGGCTGGCAGCGCTGGTGGTACTGTTATGGTGACAATGTCCAGGGACTCAATGATGATGGTCTTAGCTGGCACCTAACAAACAAACAAAAAACTGCAGATGTTTGCATGTTTGATAACCCTGATTCTCGACAACTCACAAAGAGCCCATGTTCTTCAGTGCTAAGAGATACACAAATGTATGAGAAGACTGTCAGTTTTCTGGAGAACAAAATATTTGTTTCTACTGGCCACAGAGGATGACTCACTCTTAGAACAGCTGCCTCAGGCATTTCAACCAACCCTATTAAATTGTATTGCATTAAAAAGGGAAACCATCTGAAAACGTAATCATCTTACAAGATTTTTTGGAGAAAAAGAAAAACTGAAAGAGGAGACCGATCATTCTCCTTTAACTTTCTGCATTACCTCGTTCATGATACTGAGTACAATGGAGTAAACAAAGCCGATTCCAGCCACAGCCACCAGACACAACAGGAAGAGGTAGGCATCGCGGTACAGCTTGAAGTCGGTGGGTTTGGGATAAAGGATGGAGCGCACCAGCTGGCCTTTAGCTGTGCTGAAACCTGAGTGAAGAAAAGGAATTTTTGGTCATTTTTAAGTCTTAGGCCCTTTCTCAATTCTCAAGTACGCGAGTCCGTGCTCGCGTTCTCGGCGAGTCCGGACTTGCCGAGAATGCGAGCACGGACTCGCGATTTGTACAACTGGAACACCAGCGTGCTTGATGATGTCACAGGTCCGGAGTTTTTACTGCCGTCCCCTCTTAATGTGAGTAATATGTTATGAAGCTTAACTTTAATCACAGCCAAACCGGTTTACTCGGGAACAAATAAAACACTGAAATAAACCAAACATTAACATTTAGAAGTGAACGAAGTGACTTATATATCATGTTTAACCTCAGTAGCGAAATCTCTATTAATAAAAATAGTGTACATGTGTGCCTTAATAAAAACAAGCAGGTGAGATGTTAGAATGCTTTTATTTTTATTTTAGTGGACACTCAATACAATAGACAGCTGCTGGGGTTTGTTTAACCTGAGTAGCGAAAAGACCGCGGGGGGGTTGAAAACGATGTGCCGGGAGTCCGCTGTTCTCGCCGGCTCTAGTGATCCTCGACCTCGCGGCCTGCTATGGAGCTGGCGGGTCACAGACGTCTCCGAAAACGTCGGAGCACGTTTGGAAATATATGATATCCTGATAAATCGAGCAAATATTAGAAGTTCACACAGCTACATTCTCGCTTGAAAATAACTTAAAAGTTTATTTTGTGACCCAGAAAGAGTAATATTTAAAAGTTTTTAGCCGCGCTCGTCCGCCATTGCTGCGTTTTGGACGAAATGCATTCTGGGATATTTAGCTGTACCAAGTCCACACAAGTCACCACCGATGCATGCGCGATAAAACGGGCGGAGCGAGAACACATCCGGGAATTTTTCGCGTTCTCGGCTTGATGCGTACTTTGAATTGGAACAGTACTTGCTCTCCGACTGATGACGTATCACGAGTACACGAGAACGCAAGTACGCATATTGAGACAGGCCCTTACTTTCTTTCATTCTGTCATTTGAACTGAGGCAAAATGTTCTGACCAAACAGACTTTTATAGATCAAACAGCAAGCTTGTTGTTCTAAATTGACAAACCATTTTATTCCAGCCAACTTTATCAAGCTCCCACTTTGCAGTAAAGTAAAGGATTTCATTAGAGACTATGTCACTAACTTAAACATATGGTAAATGGTAAATGTCCTGTATTTGTATAGTGCTTTACTTAGTCCCTATGGACCCCAAAGCGCTTTACACTACATTCAGTCATCCACCCATTCACACACTGGTGATTGCAGCTACATTGTAGCCACAGCTGCCCTGGGGCGCACTGACAAAGGCGAGGCTGCCGGACACTGGCGCCACCAGTAGGCAACGGGTGAAGTGTCTTGCCCAAGGACACAACGACCGAGACTGTCGGAGCTCGAACCAGCAACCTTCCGATTACAAGACGAACTGCCAACTCTTGAGCCACGATCGCTCCATATAGGCCAAATCTCACTGTTATACTGTAACAGTACCCCATTTCATTTTAAAAGATCTGGATTATTACAATCACATTAATCATTAAAGCACTTGAATCCAGACCCCCAAACTAACCTGTGCGCACCACTACAGCCTTGACCAGTTCGCCTGTGTAGAAGCGGGTCTGGATGACATTGGTGCCACAGAAGAGTGTGTGTCTCTTATGCTCCTCTGTGTTGTAGGCACTACCAGCCTCCTCCCCCCTGTCCCCTGGCACTGGGTTTGGGAGGTTGGTCTTTGTCACTGGAACGCTCTCACCTAATGAGGATTAAAAGACATTAGCACTGCGTCCAGAAATACATAAGAGGAAAACCAGACTGGAACTTGCAAAGAAATAAAATTTGAAGAAACAAGTCTTTACATGCGCTTCTCTACCAACCTGTAAGCATGCTTTCATTGACGATACAGGTGCCACTGACCAACACGGCGTCGCATGGCATGATGGTCCCGTTGCTGGGGATGACTATCACGTCACCGGGCACCAGATCAGTAGACAAAATTTCCTCGATATCTGCCAGGAAATATGTGGTAGAAACAAAGTGAGTGAATGTGTGCAATCAGATACAGACATCATACCTAAAACAGGAGAGGTGAGAAATGTATTCCAAGTGTAGACAGTGGACATGAAAGGCAACAGGGATGAGGAGATTGTAATAAACCCAAGGCAGACCCGACCACTCGCTCATTCTTTTCAACATATTGTTGTCGTCCTTTACAGACACACACAACAACAACAGTCAGTCAGCACAGAGTTGCAGATGCCGTGCAGGTGTGTCCGCCTCCCCTGCAGCAGCACTGGCAGCAGCCCCGCCACAGAGATATTTTGTGTTTAAGAGCCTCATAGTCTTGTTCAGCACTTCTCTCATTAATAATGCCTCTCTACGCAGCAGTGGAAAAAGCTGAGGCATCATAAGTAGTACCTTACAGCTTATGTGCCCCCACAGCTATGTCTGACAACTCTAAACCCAAATTCAACCACCCTCCTTTGGACAACTAATGACATGCATTTTGAGATGGTGATGGTATTGTCATCACTTCTGCAAACACAAACAGAACCTTTTGTGCAGAATAACAGACCAAACTGTCCATCCTTATTGTCATATAGACTCTAACGTTGCAGTGTTTCACAGCAGAGGACATTTAGAGGGCAGCCAGTGCAGGGTCTGGCTCGGCATAAATGCAGAAAAATCCCTGTTGTCAGATTTGGATTGGAAATCCCTTTTTGAAAGTAGCTGAATATAGAATACCTGATGCATTTTTCCTATGAAAATACTTTTTGAATCTCAAACAAAAGATAAAATCAAAGAAAAAGTTTTACAAACCATTATTGGCTCGGCATACGGACACACGAACAATACTGTGAGCTGCCACCATGTCATGAAGCATGACGTATTGCTGGAGAAAGAGAAGAAAAATAACAATGATTAAAAAACCTTTTTAATTCCCATGAACATCTGTGAATTGCAAGGATGTTTTCATTTGAGTTAGTCAACCATGAGCCAGTAAACCACGTGCATGCGTTGGCCTGAAAACGCTAGATTAGATACTCAGTTTAGTCACTGGTATAAATCATAATGGTAGAAGGAAATAAGAAGGGAAAAAGGTCTTCAACAGGCAGTCGTCTGATTCTGTGGTACTTAATGTAATGTTCCATATAAATGAGTCAGCCTTTGAAGACGTTTATCTGAGACTGAAAACATAAACAATAGTGGGAACGCCATCAGGCAAAAACACAGCTGGACAAACCGGGCTTAGGCCCCATTGCTAATGAGGTGGGAAAAAAGCAAAAGCTAAGTAAGCCGTCATCATTGTGTTTTGACATAATGATACAATAAGTAAATCTAAGGACACGTTATCAGTGGCTGATATGACATAAATACTTGAATAGTTTAAGTTATTCCAAGGATGCTGAAGATTTTCAAAACAAGTGTTTATATTAGAAAAAAAGAATCAACCTGTTTCTTCTTTCACACATTTGCTGATTAATTCTGTATTAATAGATCTCTGTGCTAAAATTTAGCTTCATTAAACAAAATCTAAGTATTACAGAAAAACAAAGTGAACTAATTTTCAATCCACTGACTTTAAATTGCTCCTGACAGAAATACGAGTTCAATTCAATCTCACGATGTTGTAGAGCTCACCTTTTTGATGGTGTACAAAGAGGTAGCTATGGATATGACCGACATTAAAACAATGGCCGCAGCATAGTAGTAATACTCATCGGCACTCCACAGGATCACACTGAAGAGTTGGAAGATGTAGAAAGGGTTGAGGACCTGCAGAAGGATTTAGAGAGGAATCGGTATGGCAAGCAAAGAGGTCAAATAAAATAAAACAAAGAGAGAAAACCAGAGAGAGATCCAGAAATCACAAGAAAACAGAAATATTTGAAAATGTTGAACCAGTACAATTTCCTTAAATAAAAAAAAAAAGAAAAGAAAAATTTTAAACACCGTTTCATTCATCATACGCTGAAATGATTAACAACCTACTTCAGCGAATCACATTAACATGAAAAAGTAGCAAGACAGCAGTACATAAGCACGACTCTGTTCTGACAGAAGAAAAGGATTTCTGTTCTCAAATTATTATGCGTGTGCCACACAATAAACTAATTCACTAATATTTGGTGCAAGGTGTCAATAAACCCACAAGATGAAAAGATGTCTCACACAAATTCATGCTGCATACAGAACCTCAAACTTTGCTTTACCTCTTTGATAAGCAGCTTGAAAACAGAAGGCACTTTCACTGCAATTTCATTCACTCCGAAGAACAGTCTCCTAAAAGACAGGAAGAAAAATTGTATTTAGTTTGTGTGTAAATACCAAAGACTGTGGATATTCCTCCTCCACTGTTCAGTAACTCCAGTTACAATATCAGGGCTTATAGTTTTTAACCCCAACAACTGAACAACAACAACAACAACTCCTTGCACCTACAGTGCCGTACAAACTTGAGTGACTTTGTCTTTTGATTGAATGTTACCTGTACTCCTGCTGGTTCATAGTCAGGCCTGTGCTGTGCTCCGAGTGGAGGGTGGAGCAGCTGACCTGCAGATCCTCCAGGCCACTGTAATAGGAACATTGGAGGAGATACTTTAATTCCACATAACCGCAACAGCAAAAGCAAAACAAGCATGCAAGTTGCTATAAAATGAAAATCTTCTCCCCCTCAAGTATTTTTTGTTAGTCAACATACAGAGCAAGAGACATATATTTACTTGTCATTACTGCTGTGTGCAACCTTTGAAGAGTTTACTTAAGAGGATTCTGCAGTGAAAATTAAAAGTTATATAGTTATAAAAGAATGCTTACGTTAAAACCTCAAAGTTCTGCTTCTCGTCGTTCCAATAATACTTTGTGCTATGAAAGGTAAAGTAGCGAATCTGAGGGGAAAAAAGAGCAAAGGGACCAAAATAAGAGACAGATTTATTTGGCAAAAGTAATCATATTTGTATTGTTGTCCATAAAACAACCCTTCTATGAACTTTGAAAAACGACAGTCACATTCATTTATGTGCTTTATGCATTTCCAGTTTATACTACAGATTTATGTTGAGACAAGTGTTGTGCCTACCTGCATGGGCTGGTAGTCTGCAAATTTCCTGATGAGCTCCTGAGCAGGGCTGCCATCGGAGGGATAAATGGTGTGTCCGTTGGCCTGAGGTGGGGAAGCAGAGGAGGAGAAGGGGTAGGAGATGGAGGAAGGAGAGGAAGGGGAGGAGGGGGAGGTGGTCTGGGTCTCCAGGCTGTGGAAGGGGTTTCTCCCTGGGGCAAGCATCACTCGCACCCTGGCCAGGAACCAGCGCCGGAACTCATCCTAAACCACCCAAACAAAGTTAATCTAGTGAATTTCTGAGAAGCTTCATTAAGTAACAACAAATTTCCCCCTATTAAGTGCAACGTTTATGAGGAGGAACAACATTATTCTATATGTCAGTCTCCATTTTTAGTCACTGGTAAGTGGGGTGAGAGCTCATAACTATATTTCCATTAATATAACGGAAAAATACAGATGTACAGAAATTTTTTATTAAAATAATAATAATAATAATAATAATAATAATTAAAGCTGCAAGCAGCGTTATGAGGGCCCTCGCACCCCGGCGCGTCGAGCCACGCCCAACACCTAAACCAGCACGTCCGATCTGATGTCACATTGATGGAATTCATGCATTTAACCACCAGCTAACATTTCATCTCATTCAATTCATGATTATAGTCGTCCCACTAGGTGGCGCTCTAACCATTACTGACAAATGGCATAACAAACATTTCCGAGCTCGAGTCTCATCATGCCTGCGACCTTTGGGAGAGATTGGACATTGTGTTTTTGAGTGACAGCAGATTACTGCTTTTTGGCGAGTGATTGAAACTCCACGTGCCGCATGACCACCCCGTTTCCCTGAACGTAAAAAGCTTCGCAATTTAACATCACAAAGGTCTTTAGATTCCACACACAGGAGATCGTCAATCTGATGAAATCCCTTGGAGGAGTTCGTCAAAGACGGTGCCTGAAAAGAGGGGAAAATGTCGCCAAAATTACACATTAATTTTAAAATGGCTGACTTCCTGTTGGATTTGGGATATTGCTCCAAGAGACTTTTTTGTACATCTTGATATCTCCTATAAGCTTACCAGGTTTCAGACTCATACATAAAACACAGAGCAGGGGCTGATGTTTTGAAATTTTGTAGGGGGCGCTGTGGAGCCATTTTGCACTATTCAATGAAAATGATCACATAACAACAAAGCCTTCATCACATTGGAGGTGTGGCCAAATTTCAAGACTTTTTAAACTTTCCAAGCCCCTCAAAAGCCACTTCATTTTCATGGTGAACGCGTTGCCACCAGGGTGCGCCGTTCAGTTTAAAGTCACAATTTTTGCACTGAAGCATCACGAGGGACTGATGGTGATATTCACCGCTTTTGAGGTGGCCACGATGAACCTGTGAAAATCAGTACAACAAAATTAAAGCCATGACATTTCCTGTTGCCACTAGGTGGCGCTGTCGTATTCCCGACAATGGGCACATCAATCTGTTCAGGGCGGGTCTGACATCACTGCCTGTAAAGCCTGGTACTGATCAGACTGGGATTTCATTGAGTTATACTAATTTGTTTCTTCATGGCGATGACATCAAAGTTCGCCATGCTGCTGGGTCACACCCTTTCGCGAAAATCACAGTTTTCACTGTAACCCAAGACCAACTCCTTAAGGCTTTCCTGGAGAAATTTGAGGCTGCAGATGTCACCCATCACTATACTGTACCCCAAGTGTAAGATAAGATAAGATAAGATAACCTTTATTAGTCCCACACGTGGGAAATTTGTTTTGTCACAGCAGGAAGTGGACAGTGCAAAAGTTATGAGGCAAAAATTAGAATACAATAAGAATAAATACAGTACACAACTGTACAGAATAGAATAAAATACTATATACAGTAGAATAACAATAAAATAAATATACAATAAGATAAAAATAGAATACAAATACAAATACTATATACAACTGAGTAAAAATACAACGATGACAGAAAGGATTATTGCACTTAGTATTATTGCATATGTATGGATGTGTGTGTTTGATCAGTTAAAGTTGTCCACAGCCTCAATGTCCATACCTTGGATGTTCAGTGGTTGAAGTGGAGAATGCTTGTGCCTGCGGAAGTCTACCACCAGTTCCTTGGTTTTACTGGCGTTGATCTGGAGGTAGTTCAGCTGGCACCAGTCCACAAAGTCTTGGGTCAGTCCTCTGTACTCCTTGTCGTCCCCATCAGTGATGAGGCCGACTATTGCAGAGTCATCAGAGAACTTCTGCAGGAAGCACTGGGTGGAGTTGTGGGAGAAGTCTGCAGTGTAGATGGTGAAGAGGAACGGAGCCAGAACCGTTCCCTGTGGGGCCCCCGTACTGCAGACGACCCTGTCCGACACACAGCCCTGAGTTCCTCACATACTGTGGTCGGTCGGTGAGGTAGTCCAGAAATCCAGGCAGTGAGGTGATGGTCCACTCCTGAGTTCACCAGCTTGTCCTTTAGACCGTAGGGAAGAATGGTGTTGAAGGCACTGGAGAAATCAAAGAACATCATTCTCACAGTGCTCTCCAGCGGTCTCCAGGTGAAGCGAGGGAACGATGTAGGAGGTGATGACGGCATCATCCGCTCCAATGCCAGGTGGTAGGCAAACTGAAGTGGGTCCAGTGATGAGCTCTTTAGGCGCCGAAGCTGAGCCAGGACCAGACCGCTCCAGGGTCTTCATCAGGTGGGATGTCAGAGCCACCGGCCTGTAGCTGTTGAGGTCCTTTGGGGTGTGAAGTCTTTGGCACTGGTACAACACAGGAGGTTTTCCAGAGCTGTGGGACTCTCCCAGCCTCAGGCTCAGGTTGAAGAGGTGCTCCATCACCCCACACAGTTGGTCGCGCAGGACCTGAAGACCCTCAGAGCTGATGCCATCTGGACCCGCTAGCCTTCTTGCCATTAATCCTCTCCAGTTCCTCCTAACCTGGGTGGTTGAGAGAGACAGGCTGGAGCCTTGTGTTGAGTGTGTATTGGATGCTGTTGTTGGGGGTGGGGAGGAGTGAGCAGGGTGAATAGAGGAGGTGTGAAGTGTCTGAGGTGTCAGAGGTGGAACAGCAGCAGTGGGGGTGGGTGAGTCTGCAGCCGATGTTGCAGACTGCCTCATGGCTGAATCAAATCTGTTGAAGAAATGATTCAGTTCATTCGCCCACCTCACATCCCTCCCAGGCAGAGAGTTCTGCTGTTTGTGGCCCGAGATGGTTCTGAGGCCTCTCCAGACTTCACCAACGTTGTTTTGTTGAAGCTGGTTCTCCATCTTCTGCCTGTAACTGTCCTTCCCATTCCTTATCAGTCCCCTCAGTTCTCTCTGCACCCTTTTCAACTCCTCTTTGTCTCTGGATTTGAAGGCCCTCCTCTTCTGCTTGAGGACAGCTTTAATTTCTGGGGTAATCCAAGGTTTGTTGTTGGAGAAACACCGTACAGTCCTGGTAGGTACGGTGTTATCCACACAGAAGTTTATATAGTCAGTAATGCATGTAGTAAGGCTGTCGATGTCCTCTCCGTGGTCATCACAAATCACCTCCCACACAGTCGACTCAAAACAATCCTTAAGAGCCTCCTCGCTCTCCTCCGACCATCTCTGTACTGTGCGGGTGGCTGGTGGCTCCCTGCGCACTAAGGGCTCATACACAGGGACAAGGTGCACCAGGTTGTGATCAGATCTGCCCAGGGGAGGGAGAGGTGATGAACTGTATGCCTCTTCTGCATTGGCATACAGTAAGTCCAGTGTTTTATTGTCTCTGGTTGGGCAGGTCACATACTGGGTGAAGGTGGGCAGTGTGGAGTCCAGTGAGGCATGATTGAAGTCCCCTGATATTATGAGAAGGGCTCTCGGTGATTGTGTTTGCAGTCTGCTGACCACAGAGTGGAGAGAGTCACAGGCTGCATCCGCGTTGGCCGAGGGGGGGACATACGCTGTTATCGCGATAACATGCGAGAACTCCCGGGGCAGGTAGTACGGACGCATGCTAACGGCTAACAGCTCAATGTCTCTGCTGCAGAGTTGCTCTTTTACAGTGATGTGCCCAGGGTTACACCATCTGTCGTTCACAAAAACTGCCAGTCCCCCTCCTTTCCTCTTACCGCTGTCTCTGGTCCTGTCCGCTCGCAGCAGCTGGAATCCCGGTAGTGTCACGCTTGTGTCCGGAGTTAGCGATGTTAGCCACGACTCCGTTAGCATCATGATGCTACATTGCCGGTACTCCCTCTGTGACCAGGTTAGCGACATGAGCTCATCCATCTTATTGGGCAAAGATCTTACGTTTCCAATAATTACAGAAGGAAGAGATGGTCGATAACGTCTCCTTCTCGGGCGACGGCGCTCCTTCCCAGCACGACACCCCCGTCTTTTCCTCCTCAGCTCGCTGGGAATGTCGGGTCTGTCCGCCGGCAGTACCGCTGCAGGACGCAGCGCTAACAGCTGATCCTTACTGTAAACAAAGGATCTCTGCTCTGGGTCCCCAGACACGGGTGAAAAAAGTAGAAATAAACTGAGAAAAACGACCAGGACTAGCACAAAACGGTAGAACATGGTTGCAGAGTCTAATTACTAATACGTTAGTTATAAAAAAAATTACGAGAAAAAAGATAAGAAAGAAAGAAACTCAGAATGAGCAGAGCTGCTGTAACAGGCTGCCGCACACGGGGGGCGCCGGAAGTGAATACATTTCCTGTTCCCACTAGGTGGCGCTGTCCTTGATGTCAAATGTGACAGTTGAAATATGTTCAGGGGTGGAGGCTCATATGTGTTCACTTTGGTCGTCAGACAATGTATGACAGAATGAGAGGCAATAAGATTTTCATGGCGAGTCATCGAAATTCGCCATGGCGCCACGGCCTCACCGTATTGTGAAAACTCAAAAGCTCCGCAATTTAACATGGCCCAGGTGTGTAGTTGACACTGACCAAAGATGAAGCTTATACGACCAAATCCCAAGGAGGAGTTCGAAAAAGTTCGAGGCATGGAAATGGCAAAATTAGAGCCAAAATGTCACCTTCACGTCCAAATGGCGGACTTCCTGTTGGGTTTGCGTCAATGGGCCCACAGACTTTTTTGTTCGTCTTGGCATGATACACATGTGTGCCAAATTTCATACATGTAGCTCAAACGATGTGGTCGTAGGGCTGCATTTAACAAGGCATAGGTGGCGCTGTAGAGCCATTTCCCAGTGCTCATATGTAAAACCATTAAAATACAAAATTTTTCACCAGACCTGGCATGTGTGCAAAATTTCATGAGTTTTTGAGCATGTTTAGGCCCTCAAAAAGGCCCTTGTTTTGCCTGAATAATAATAAGAAGAAGAAGAAACGGAGCAGATACAATAGGGCCTTCGCACTCTCGGTGCTCGGGCCCGAATAAAAGCAAAGCAAATAAAAAATAATAAACAGCAGCAAGAAAAAGCCCACAACTGTGTTTGCACATATTAAAATTAAATGTTAATTATTATTATTATTATTTACTAGTCTTCAAAATAGTTACTTCTAATTACGTCTTTACCATTTGTTTCATGAATTGGCAACACCAAATAATAAATAAAAAAGAAGCCAAAATTGTTTTAATATGTTTTGATTAGTTTGTTGATAAAATGTTTAATCTCTAAAATCCACCACTTCCTTTCACAATTTCTTGATTAGATTTTTTCCAACCAAATATTAAAAACCCATTTAATACGAAGAAAGAGAGAAAAAAATAGAAAAACTTATTTTCTAAGTAAATAATTTTTCTCTTTTTTGAATAATAATGACTCACTGCTGCTTTACTTGCTACCTACCGTGGAGCGCAGCAACACCACTTGGGCATCACGGGCTGTGGTACGAGTGCAGGTGGACTTGACGCACCATTCTGGCATCCAGTAGAGCACCAGGAGAAGGAAGCCCCCTGTACACAGCACCCCGAGGCCCACCAGGGCCAGCCGCCAACGACACAGACGGTAGCCCTGCAGCTCCTTAACAAAAAAAAAAGAGAAAACAGGAGCACAGTATGGCACGTTAGGTAACACAGTATGTAACTTTCTGGTAGTCCCACAGGAGTTAGCAGTGAAGACAAAGTAAGCGTAGCGGTCATCACTGTAGACTGGACCGCAGGTGGGGTCGAGCAGCGTGAGCTCACTGGGGTTCAGGCTGGGAACAGACTCCAGTTTCACAGCCAGAGTGGTTATGGTACCATTAGGGAAACACTCAGTAAGCGGTGAGAAGAAATTGCAAGCCATCGAGAAGTAACTGATGGGCACATTAGATTCTGGATCCTTCAGGATCACGTTAATTCTGGTCATTTTTTATAGCCTGAAACATTGTTCAAGTTAGTGAAGCAAAAATACCAATCTCCTCCTCTTCCCCCTTGTTGACAATCTTGAGATCCTCCTTCTCCATGCTGCAGAACAGTTTGCCAAGCCCCTTCCTTAGTCACTGCAAACAGATCAGACAAAATGTCAACGGTGAACAGTGCGGGAAACATTTAATGCTGCGCTTACACTGTGCGATTTTTGGCCCATTTTGAGCCGATTTTTGAGTCGTGCATCGTGTAGTATACGTGGGGTAACGAGACGCGATTAACACCTCACGACCGATCATCAATCGCTTGGTCGGGAGGATTTCAAACCTGTTTGAAATCCTCGCGACCGTCGTGAGGGTGTCACCGCAGTTTCTCACACTGCGCACGCGCAAACACAAATGTCAGCGAAAAAGACGGCGCAGCACGGCAGTGCAGCGTGTGATCTGGACACAAGCGATGGAGGCACAACTTGTAGAACTATGGCAAGCTCATCCGAGCCTTTTCGATGTGGCCTCACAAAATTATCACGACCACAACAACCGTGAAAATAGTTGGATCTACATTGCTGCTCAATCACAGCTGCCTGATCAATGTTTTTCATTAGCAATTTAGCAAAGTTGATGGTGGTGGTGTGTCTGTGTGAGTGAAAGACAGAGAGGGAGAGCGACAGAATTTCTGTTATAACCTTCATTTTATGGACGCACAGTGTGAGCACTCAGGTCGCATCAGAGCATCGGGCCGTATAGTGTGAGACCTGCATCGTGACCTATGAACTTCTAACCCCTGCGAGTCAATCGTACAGTTTGAGCAGGAGCTGAATCGCGCGACTGAAAAAATCGCACAGTGTAAGCCCAGCTTAAGCTTCACAGCAGGCTTTGGAACCGAGAGCTCAACAGCACAGTGTCGAAACAAGTCACAAGATAACACCACATTATTTGTTTAAAGATTGATTAATCAAAGCCCTGTAAAGTGCTTAACAATGTCAAATGTCAAAGACAAATGTCAAAAGCAAATTACAACTTTGGAAAGCAAGTTTCTGTCTTTTTAATCAATATTCTTAACGCAATCTTCTTGACTGAAGTGACCAGGGATTTTGTATTTAAGCTCCACGTGGCAGGTCGAATATTGCTTAGGAAGGAAGCTGATTTTCTGCATCATTCACAAGATCAAAAAAACATTTACCAGCACTCAAAGTATGCACTTTAAGCCAAAGAGGTTTGGACCAGTGGAAGTAACGGCAACTACAGGAGGGTTTTAATCTATAACACATATAGTCACACATATAATCTATAGAATATATATTTTTAGCTAGCATATCATACACATGTTATACTCGCTAACCCTGCGAGCATGCTATATATTTAATTTTTAGATTTCTTGAAAGAAATCTCACTTGTGGATTTTTTTCCCCCCAATAAAGTTTGAAGTGACAAATCCTCACCCCCCACCTCCCTCTTCACCCACGACTGCAGACCTGCTGATGGTTCCAACACCATCATTAAGTTTGCAGATGACACCACGGTGATTGGCCTCATCAGTGACAACGATGAGGCCGCCTACAGGGAGGAGGTGGATCGTCTGGCTGAGTGGTGCGACACAAACAACCTGCTGCTTAACACCGAGAAGACCAAGGAGCTCATCGTGGACTACAGGAGGAATGCTGACCCACATCCACCCATCCACATTAAGGGGACGGCTGTGGAGCGTGTGAGCAGCTTCAAGTTCCTGGGAGTCCACATCTCCGAGGATCTCACCTGGACGACCAACTGCTCCAAGCTGGTCAAGAAGGCTCACCAGCGCCTCTTCTTCTTGAGGACTCTGAGGAAGAACCACCTGTCCTCAGACATCCTGGTGAACTTCTATCGCTGCACCATCGAGAGCATCCTGACCAACTGTATAACAGTCTGGTACGGGAACTGCTCTGCCTCGGACCGGAAGGCGTTGCAGAGGGTCGTGAAAACTGCCCAGCGCATTGCCGGAGCACCACTTCCTGCCATAAAAGACATCTACAGGAAGCGGTGTCTGAAAAGGGCTGGGAAAATCATCAAAGACCCCAGTCACCCATCACATGGACTCTTCACCCCACACACACACACTCCACACACACACACACACACACGCACACACACACAACACACACACAAAATGGACAAGGTCGGGTTCGATCCAGATCTGGTTCTGTCGTTGTGTAACCTTCGCCGGTTCGATCCCAGGCTCTCTGTCCTGGTCGTTGTGTCCTTGGGCAAGACACTTTCCCCTACCGCCTACTGGTGTTGGCCAGAGGGGCCGATGGCGCGATATGGCAGCCTTGCTTCTGTCAGTCTGCCCCAGGGCAGCTGTGGCTACAACCGTAGCTGCCTCCACCAGTGTGTGTGAATGAATAGTGGCATTGTAAAGCGCTTTGGGTGCCTTGAAAAGCGCTACATAAATCCAATCCATTATTATTATGTGAATTTTGCTGTATTATCCACTGAACAATCTTTGTCAAATGATTCCTAAGGTGCTTGTAAACACAAGTTAGGCTATAGACAGTTTCACTTTTTACTTAAAACCCCAGCAAACCCTCACTAAGTAATATTACAGACAGTTGATCAGGTTCACTCCAGAGGGGCTAAATGGGGCTACTTAGGGAAACATGGCACACAAAGATGCAAATTAATGTTTCAAGAAGTAAGGCCCAGACATTAAAACAGTGCCGCATTTGACCATTTCTACATTCCACAAAAGACAAGAGAAAGTAAAAAAGAAATCAGAGAAATCAGAGAATCCAGCTTCTCTGATTACATCAGGCACCACTGGTGGGGTGTGGAGTAACTCAAGGTGTAGCTCTGAAAGTCAAGAAAAACAAGCCTCTGTCCATCTGTACCTACTTATACACAATAGGTCTGTGTAATTACACCCAAACCAAGGAGTGCTTGACCTTTACCTTCCACTGTGCTAGCCTTATACAGGTCAGTATAGGCAGGAGTCAAAGTTAACTGAAGTTAGGCTCAGGTTACAAGCCTGAATAATAAATAGCAAAATACATCAGTACACACAAAGATAAGCAAATCCAACGAGGTATTAAGTCAGGCAAATGGTTAGGATACCCTCTCTGACAGCAATTATCACTGGAGAGTTCTGGTATGATATGTCAGGACAGAGTGCCAATAGGGCCACCCTTCTACTGCATCCAACGCCCTGTATAACCCAATTATCCTATATCACTGCCTCGCACACTCAGATCTTATCTTGCCTGCTGCACCCGGGTGGACTTTTTCTCTGGCATACTGCGGGATATTTTGCTTAGGACCAAGCCCTTCCTTGTATTTTTCAATAGCAGCCCCCCTAGCCAGCGCTCAGCGGTGGCTGCATAACAACAAGAACATTCCCTCCTAAATTTCTGCTATAACTGGAAATGCCAACCCAAGTACATCATGGACACAAGCACCCACATGATTGTCCAGAAATGCATTGGGAAGGCACAAGCACAACCCAATAAGCTAAAGGACTGGACACATAAACACACACACACATCCACACACACGCACACACAAACACACACACAAACACCACAACACACACACAACACACACACAACATTATCACTCAGCTTAACTCAACTACCTCAAAACATTGAGACTGGACTGACTAATCAACACAAGCGCAAACACACTGACCTACACCACCAAACCATCGTACACACCAACCTGTAAATGCTCTTTTGCACAATATTATTACTGGACTTTTTGCACTAACTTCTACTTCCTAATTTTTGCTGCTACACTAAGGAATGTTTACTGTTCCTCCACTACCTCAACTCATCATCACAAAACCTTATTATTATGTTACGTTGTGTTTTTTTGTCACACTGTCACTTTGCTGCTCTTGTTTGCACATTTGCACGTGCACTTTGTTGTCTGCTGTCTGTTAACAAAAAAAAGTCTTCCTTAGATAGTTAGTTTTGTTAATTTATGTTGTAATTTATGTTAGGTCAGTCTGTCTTGTCTCTGCTAGCCAGCTAACTAGGCCTCTTAGTTAGCTAGTTTAGTGTTTTCTGTTAATTTATGTTGTAAATTTATGTTGCATGTAGCACCTTGGTCCTGGAGGAACGTTGTTTCGCTTCACTGTGTACTAACTGTATATGGTTGAAGTGACAATAAAGCCGACTTGACTTGACTTGAAAAAGCTCAGGTAATTAGTTCCAGTGATTACCATGGACCAAATGGATTTAAATTTATTAACGGGAATCATTTCATCTTATTTTAAAAGCTTGTACAGATTCTCCCACATACAGCTTAATAATTACAAGCCATTTTTCCCATTTCAGTATTAACATCCTTCTCTTCAAGGACCAAACAGTCTTGGGATCTGGTGTAGGTGAAGATGTATACAGTGGGGAAAAAATACTCATGAGACACCCAGAAAATTTGCCAAGACAAAGTTTGAAATAAATGGAAAAAATAAATTAATGTGACAATAGTTAGCATCAAGGAGGATTTATAGGCAGAAAGCATGCTTGGCAATCTTTCCATAAAAACTATTTATGGAAATGGAATGCATTAAAACTATTTAATGCATTTAGCTTGACAACAATTTAAGGTTAATCAAAGATTTTTGTACATAAAACTCTGGTAACAGAGAGTGGTGTTATATGCTTTGGACCGTTAAAGGTTACACCTGAGTCATTAACTATTTTGTATTAAAGTGGTACTACAATAGAACCCTGTGGCACACCTCTGTTGACACTAATGAGGCTGGACTGTAAGCCATCAGACCCCACAGCTTATATACCACAGCTGAGACAATTGGCCACCAAAACCAAAAAAAGATGCCTCATAAGACAGTCACGATAAAGAGTATCAAAAGCCTTAGATCAATGACTAAATATAATCAGGTACTGTTTTGTACCCCAAACAGAAGAATGACAAATAAATGACACATTTTAAAATAGAGTACTATGTTAAAAATGACCTCAATGACATAACATGACACTAGGGCTGCTCAATTAATCGAAT